TCATGATTGCCCAAGCCGCGGTACAGCCGCTTCCGTTCGCGCTTGGCTTCTGCCACTGCACTGGTCGTCGGGCGGGGATCGTCGCTGGCTTCCGACGAGACCTGCCTAGCTACCGACGCCGGCGACGAGGACAAGGAGGACAGATTGAGCTCATGATTGCCCAAGCCGCGGTACAGCCGCTTCCGTTCGCGCTTGGCTTCTGCCACTGCACTGGTCGTCGGGCGGGGATCGTCGCTGGCTTCCGACGAGACCTGCCTAGCTACCGACGCCGGCGACGAGGACGAGGAGGACAGATTGCGCTCATGATTGTCCAAGCCGCGGTACAGCCGCTTCCGTTCGCGCTTGGGTTCCATCGGTTCCTTGTGTTTCTTACGCCAAATTACGAAAGCTTAGAGATAGAAAAATATAAAAGAAGTAAGCTAATCCTGTGATCGAATTTATGTTTAAAGTGCAATTTTACCTCGATCAATATTCTTGCGCGGCTCGCGTCCGCACAGATCTGGTTTGAACACGTAAAAGAATGGGCGTAAAAGGTGTAGGTACTGTTCGAAAATATATTGCTGTTCATATATCGATATATCGATACATACAAATATCGCTGGGCGATTCTAAAGTGCATTAAAATGTAAAATATTCAACAATATGGCTCAACCACCGAATCTCACGGCCCGAGAAGTGCAGCAGGTATTTGCAGAGATTCTCAGCCATGGCGAGGACATGGCCTGGGATCTGTGAGTGCCCGCCCAAAAATCCTTTGTCCCTCACTTGAAATCTATAGATGGCCAATCCCTGACCTGACTGATTGCTGCAGAATCAACGAGACATTCTGAAAAGGAAAGTTCGATAAATATTTAATCTTAATTAATTAATTAATTTAATTTTATTTATGTCTCATAAATAATTCTGGACAACGTTTTGACTCTACGTAAGCAGACTCCGCGAAACAGCAGCTCCGTCACTAATCCAGACGTACATACATAACTTTAGGTAAATGCGCCAACGGCCAGTCCCTTTCTGCGTTGTTCTTTGCGGTTATTGTGAATGGAGTGACCGACTTGAAGGAGGCAGAGAATAGCAGATCCTGGTCGATCCACCCAGTTTTCCGCTGCCGTCGCTGCGATGGTAATGTCGTACATTAAAGTAGTTTCAAATTGATCCAATTGCATATGCCTATCACTATACTACTTTCAGCCGACACGGATGGAGGGATGAGCAGCAGCCCAGACTGTTGCGGTATGTATGTGGATCAAATCGGGCTCTTTGAGGACTGCGATGCATACTTAAAGCGCACAGCTCTTCCCCCAGGGGTTATGGTAACCTGTGATCGAGGAGTCTACAAGCTGATCGATGGCCAGGTTGAGCTTTAAACTTATTTGATAACGGAGAAAATGTACACACGCAATGCGTGCTTCATAACGTCTGAAGGTCTGAAGGCAGCCTTGGAATTTCCTGGAGTGCATCGGCTTTACTCGGAATCAAGCTCTAGATATATATTGCAAGGAACATAGTAGTAGAACATATAAGAGCGAGCGACAAAGTGCTATACCTGCTTTTGTATGATACTTTTAATCTCTGGTATATGTATGCGAAACGTTCTATTTGTGCTCACTCAAAGGCGTGTTGATGGGGGGAAGGTCGATACTCTAAGTGCATGGCTGCTCTCCGAGTCGTTGGTTCTGTTTACGCACAGCGTCAATAACTTTCGCCTGTCGTCTGAAATGGTCAACAAAGCCACTTATCGCACAAGCCTAAGCAGCTACGTACAGTAAGGTACTATCCATGAAGACCTGCCAGACTAATGACTTTGTTTTTGCAGGAACACCTTTAAAAAGATCTTCAAGGAAGCCAAGGCCATGGAGTCGTCCACTCAAGGCAGGCTGGACCTCCTACGCAGCGTCACTGGGGTACCCACAAAAAAGGAGATCAAAAAACTATTGAAAACTAGTGGAGTTGGTGGCCGCATTTCGGGTGAACCGAAACTACCCGCTGAACCTACTAAGGTGCCACCAAATCTGCTGCAGATCCGTTCAATCAACATTAATGGTCAGGACATCAAATTGGCCGACTACGGAGAAGTTATCATTGCTAACATCTCAAGCGCTGAGAGCTTCGAGGATCTAATCACCAGTATGGCCGAGCNAGTGGAGTTGGTGGCCGCATTTCGGGTGAACCGAAACTACCCGCTGAACCTACTAAGGTGCCACCAAATCTGCTGCAGATCCGTTCAATCAACATTAATGGTCAGGACATCAAATTGGCCGACTACGGAGAAGTTATCATTGCTAACATCTCAAGCGCTGAGAGCTTCGAGGATCTAATCACTAGTATGGCCGAGCACTGGAAGCTAAACATGTACAAGCTGATGCTCCGAATGACGCAGACCTTTGTGGAAAGCACCAAAAAGGAGTTTTGGCTGAAGTACCACCTACCCACGGAATCGGTGCTCTATCAGATCATTCGACAAACACTGAAACTCCATGCGAGCTATGCGCTATTCTGAGAAGCGTGCGCTGCTATTTCGCCTCCCGCACTCCCCTTTGTCCAGCAGAGTTTCTGAAGAAGTGCCCCAAGTGCGTGGGTTACTACAATGAGGGTACGCGGCAGGTTAATGAATCTGATGTTACAGATATGTATGTTTACCATGCGAAGCAATTTAATAGGTTTATTTATCTTACGGCACGAACACTTTTGGGTGTTTTTTTTTTATTAGCTATCCTGTATGAAAATATATGTTTGTATATTTGAAATATCCAATTGAACAGCGATATTTAAAGAGCTGTCCAGCATTATATGTACAGATCCTGAG